TCCACGCGCGTGTCCCTGAGTTCTTCCAAAATCATGTCGATCCACATTTTTTTAGTCCACTATGTTCCCGAATGAATGCGGAAAGTGGTGGCGGGGCTGTACTGCTCAGCCGACCTTGGTGGTCTCGGCGTCTGCACAGACAAAGCGAGCCAAGAAAAATAGAAAAGGACCTACATGTAAGAGAGAGAGAGAGAGAGAGAAAAACAAGACGAGAGCAAGACATGCACATCATGGGTCCACTATTAGCACCCACACATCAACTGCAGAAGGATAAAGATAAAAGATACTGTAAAACCGAAAAGTCTAACGAGTCACAAAGTCTAACGTTTTTTTAAAACGATCAATTATTTGTCGTTATTAGAAAAAAACGTTATCGGTGGATGTATGTATAAAAAACATGCGCATACAGATGGGTGACCAGGTAGCCATTCTGCACGTAATCATGCCAAAATTACAAAACCGTTAAACTTTTTGGTCGTTAAACTTTCCGGTTTTACAGTATATTGGATAGGGATATGGGGGTCAATCAGAACTGCAGCTAAGGAAAGTTAAAAAGCGTCAGTCTCTCTCTGCCAGTCAAGGTGCAGCAGGTACTTATGGCATCTTTGCTTGAAGGACTGCAGCTGTTGTGGGTACGGTGCAGATCGCAAGATATGTCCTGGCAGGCTGTTCCACGTTGGGATGGCGCAATCGGGCAATCCATTGCGGAGGCTGCTTCGGGTGCGTGCCGGGAGTGTTGATTTTAGCTGGTTCTGGTGTTGCTAAGCGATCTTAGCAGACAGCCTGGTCGATGGTCTGCACGGAGGGGGTGGGTCGGCTGGGGCTTGTATAATGGCCTTTTAAGGGGATTCGTCGGGAGAAGATATGTTAGCTTGAAGAGGAGCGACAGGGATGCAACCGTTCTGCGGTGCTCCAGGCTGGGAAGCCAAACTCCCGGGCCGATGATCTTTAGCGCCCTGCGCGGCATCTTGTCCAGGCAGGAGGTACTGGATGGTGCCCATCCACCCCAAGGAGCAGTAGTCCATCAGAGGGCGGACAAACCCCTTGTACACAGTTGTGCGACCTCTGGCGTCTAGGAGGGGGGGGGGGGCAACCTTGGCAAGGAAGTGGAGCCGCTGAGCAGCTTTGGTTGCAATGGAGTGGAGGTGAGTTGAGAAGGACAGCTGGGTGTCAAAGGTGACACCGAGCAGTTTAATCTCCCTCTTCTCCGGGATGGCAATTCCTGCGAACAGTACTGGTGGCATGGCTGGGGGTGGCTTACGGTGGCCAATGGTCACCGACTGAGACTTGGATGGCTCAAATATCACTGTCCAGTCTGCGCCCCACTCAGCGACGCTGTCCATGGCGGCTTGGAGCTGCACTGTGGAGTGGGCGATATCGGATGTATTCTTCCCATTCCGTACGTCATGTATGAGTGAAAGTTATGTAACCATCATTGCCCCACCATCACTGCGGCGTCTCGGTGCAGCCCCTTCTCAGTAGTTGTCATGTTTCGTTTGTCCTTGTCTCAGTACCATTGTCTGTCATTATTATTTACGAGTTGTGTATGTGAACATAGTTAAAAAAACAAAAACAAAACAAAACAAAAAACATAATTCTCTCGCTCTCTCTCTCTCTCTCTCCCTCTCTGTCTGTCTCTCTCTCTGTCTCTCTCTGTCTCTCTCTGTCTCTCTCTCTCTCTCTCTCTCTCTCTCTCTCTCTCTGTCTCTCTCTCTCTCTCTCTCTCTCTCTCTCTCTCCTCTCTTTCAAGTAAAATCAACAGCAAGAAACAGCAACAAAACAATCACCGTATGAACCTGCCCTAGACAACTAGCTTGAACAATATACTAAGCTAGCTAAGCTCGTTGTGTGCTGCTCAACACAATGGTATAGCCGGCGGTAACGCGGAAATGCGAACTTAACTTTACTTTACATCTACACGTACATGTACAATGTAGGTGAAAGACGCATCCCCCAAGGCTGCGGCGCGCATTGAGTATTTCGTGATTGTTGCACATTCCGCCGGCCGGAGCCAACCCTGCGCTCGTTGAAAACTACCTGAGAAAGCAAGATGGTAGGTAGGTAGGTAGGTACATTTTTATTTGAATTCGCAGAACCAAACGGGCGGTGTCGCCCAATTACATGGAAGCGAATGGAAACAGTAAAATATTGTAGGAAATAGCCTAACATGATAGCAGGGTGTAGTACCAAGCAAAGAACGCTCAGTCAATGAATAACGTTAACGTTAGAATACAACAACGGGCAGGGGGTAAACAGCACATGACTGGTTCTGTGGAGTACCGCAAACGTTCAAAGATTCCTGTAGTGTTCAGTAGTGGGTGCTACTGCTAGCAAGACAGAACGGGAGGCAGGCTTGTTTGAACTGGTGGTACTGGGTAATACCACGCACGTCGGATGGCAGGGTGTTCCATAAAATGGACCCGCGAGCGGTTGGACGGTCGTGGCCGGCTTTGGAGGCAGATTTGGGCACTCGAAGGCCCAAGCTGCGTTGCGCGCGCGTTGTTCGAGTACTGGTATCAGGCAGGGTTTAGTAAAATACCATTAACTAGATTCACACCATGCACCTTGGACGCGTGTAAGGTCAACAAGTCGTGTAAGATGACATGCAGCGTGGCTGCACAAGCCAAGATGCTCATCGTAGAGTATCTCAAAAATGGGCTGCCGCTCTCTTGTCGACGTCATTCAAATCAGCAAACATCACTCCAAGAAGGCTGTTGCTGGTGTAGATACTTATTTGCAAAGTACATGTACATGTACATGTATAATCCTCCATGCACCTGTTTCTCTGACTAGCATACTCCAAGAATTTGCTCTCGCCGACAAAAGGCATAAACTCATTCCCTCACTCAGATGCATTGGGACTGTGCCCATCATTGTGGGTTCAATGATTTTAACCTGTGATGTGATATGGAACGGAAACGCAAGGATGCACACTGTAACACTTCTACTAACAGGTCTCACCCCATGCCTAGCACCATGCCTAGCACCATGCCTAGCACCATGCCTAGCACCAAGCCTAGCACCATGCCTAGCACCATGCCTAGCACCATGCCTAGCACCAAGCCTAGCACCATGCCTAGCACCATGCCTAGCACCAAGCCTAGCACCATGCCTAGCACCATGCCTAGCACCATGCCTAGCACCATGCCTAGCACCATGCCTAGCACCATGCCTAGCACCATGCCTAACACCATGCCTACACCATGCCTAACACCATGCCTAGCACCATGCCTAACACCATGCCTAGCACCATGCCTAACACCATGCCTAGCACCATGCCTAACACCATGCCTAGCACCATGCCTAACACCATGCCTAGCACCACGCCTAGCACCTCAGGTGCACCCTCTACAATCATTCAAACTACGTTAGTTGCCCGCTTTCACACTATCATATTCATCATAATTATTATACTTATACACGTATTACGTGATGGGTTAGCTTGATGAAGTCGATTACTCCATGGAAACGGCTTTTCCGTTACACGCACACTGTTAAAAACTCATTGTTGGAACCGTTCGCAAATGCCCGCAGCCGTGTGAATGTGAGAGGTCCACTATCTGTGCATCGGTGGAATATACCGGGCCAACAATGGAACATTATTCCCGTAGCTATGCAGAAGACGTTACTTCAGTAACGTCTGGCGCTAGCCAGGGTCCACACAGCTTTAATTGGGTGTTTGTTTGTGTGTTTGTTTGTGTCACGCCTGGCGCTATCCGTATCTGACGGCAAAAAAGCATAGGATGTTATAAATTTTTCAATTCTCCTTTTTTCTTCAGGCATATCCTGGGATTCGAACCCGCACTATCGCCCTACATGCATTCCCCCATACACTTCGCATTCATACCCATTCTTCCAAGTTGCTTTACGTTATTATCTTGCGTTTGAAAGCCCTATTTGAATATTGCGGGCAGCTGTATGTGGCCAGCTGTGTTTGATGGTACGGTACGGGAGACGGTGTCGTATTACCCTCGATCGTACCTGTCCCATACCTATCCCCTACCGTACCGTGCCATCAAAGACGGCTGGCCACAATGCATATTCAAATAGGGCTTTCAAATGCAAGATCACAATGTGAAACAACTTGGAAGAATTAGTATGTATGCGAAGTATATCATGGGATGCATGCAGGGCGCGCGATAGTGCGGGTTCGAATCCCAGGTTATGTCTTACAAAAAAAGGAATTTTTTAAAGAATTTATAACATCCCTATGCTTTTTTTTTGTCTAGATCATCAAGGCAAAAAAGCATAGCGTAGGGCCCTGAGCTTCCAAGCTCTCTCGTTATTGCCAATCCTACTGGAGTAGACATGGCTGGCGATGCGGCCACAGGGCTCGCTCAGGAGAGCGCAGATACAGATAGCACTGCCAGGCGAATGCCTTTAGGCCAGGGAGCATTACAAGCAATGTTCCAGCAATTGTGTAATGGTTTGTACTAACGATTGAATGATGCAAAATGATACTAGTACTGTACATGCTCCACCTTCAACTTGGAGCCATGCAAGCTCAACTTCCGCGATTACTGAAGCGTTTGCTTATGCTGAGGGAGGGTGGGATTCGGGGTTTTGTTGTGGGGCTGCTGCTTGGCTCCGCAGCCGGTTCTGCGCTTTCACACTTACACGACTTTGCGCTAACGAAGCAAGGACAGATGGGGAACAAAAATTACCTTTTACCAGCGCAGGATGTTATCTGATACGATACAGAATACCAGCAGCTTGCAAAGTGACACTGAAAAGTACATGTCGCTAGTATGACATAACAAGCCTACCTTGTGCGGTTGGTCCGTGGTCGCCCAGCCGTTCAAAAAAGATCTAAAATCAAAATTGAAAACAACAAGACAGGGGCTTAGGGGGTTTGGACCATGGCTCTCAGATACCGGGCAGAGAACAGCTGAGTGACGTTTGTTGTCCATGTGGCGATCATTGCGAAAACTGTTTAGAGTTTGGACTGTGAGGCTAGGCAGCTGGTGTTCATAATGATAAGTATTACTACTTCGGCGGGTTGTTTATAAGTCTCTGTTGAGTGTAATGACGAGTTCAGAACTTCAGTCGCTGAGTGACATACCCTCTTAGTCCACCAGAAAATATCCACAAATTCTGGGTAAGCGAATGTACAAGCTCTTTTAAAAGTATTTTCAGCAAAACCCGTGCTTTGGTCCTAGTATTCCCTTGCCCGAGCCTGACGGGACGCGTAATCGGCATTCTCCGAGACGATCCCGACCAGTGAGGATGGGTTTGAACAAGACAGCAAGGACCGATTCGCTTTCTCAGGTAAGAGATGATCAAACACTCTTGACTCTATCGCTCTGTTCTCCATTTCCTCCCGCGTTGGGACCATATACAACTCGTACGAGACTCGTAAGTGTGAAAGCTGCAATATTATTGAGTGGAGGCAGAGATATCCTCTTTGCAAGAGCCCCAGGATACAGTTCAGTTTCGTGCTGATCATGAGAGAATCCTGAGCTTCCCAAAAGCAAATTTACTGTTCTGTCTGCGTATGACTGTCTATGTCTACAGTACCAAGTAGTTGAACAGCCCTCCTTTTCATTCCTGTCTTATGATGGAGTAAAATCGTCTACTAGTACCTGCCTGTCCCATCCCCAAATATACAGTGTACAACTGTACATGTAGCACTACTCAACCTACCTAGAGTCAGTTTTCATGGTTTTGCGAGTGCTGGATACTACGATGTACTTATAGCACTCATTGCAGATTCTCCCGTGGCATCACGACGAATATCACTTTTGCTGTTTCAAAATTTGCCAAGACTCCGACACTCCGACCTAAGAAAAGTCCTTTGCATCACGTTTGACTGTTCACCCCGAGATGAAACATAGCGATACCCGATATTTTGTATTTTGTCAGGGAGCGACGATTTTCGCTACTAGCGGGACAATAATATTTGTATGAGTTCTCGGGCAGAGAAAGGTTCTATGCCATGTTGTACGAGCCAGACCATTGGATTGGCGAGAAGGCATCGGTGCCTGTTCATTTAAAGAAGAAACTAAAATACTAGTATTGCAGATAGGGCTGGTTTGGCAATCGCTTTTGTTTTAGGATTTCGGCTGCATGCGTTACTATGCTTGCATTGTGACAGCAGAAGTTCTGTGACTCTCAGAGCAGCAAGCACCGTCCTTGCATAGTCATTTACAGTGCAAAAACTCTCACAGCTCATCAAGCGCTGGAAATGGGCTTGTGTCAGTGCGGAACAGTTGGAGCACACATGACATGCCCGACAGAGGTATCGTGACGCTGCTGAATTATACAAATTAATGATAACGATTGGCGCCATGGCATTGACTCAGTGTGACAAAGTTCAGCAGTAATCCAATGAATGTAATCCTCTCCCCGATCTTTGAACGTCTTTCAGCTACTACCTTATAATTGTATGTATAGTAAAACAGCCAATATTATTTTGTCCTCGTTCTGACGGCGATCAATCGGAGCTCGCTGGCAACCGCGGCACTATCATAATATTTCGGCATCGCACTAGTGTCAGTGTGATCAATAAACAGTGTTAATTGTACACTTCAAAAGCAACAGCCCAATGAATAGCCAGGGCAACGTTAGCTTGAGTGAAGTAAACACTCGCGACTCCTGAGTCTTTATTGAAGAGAGTAACCAGTCTACAACAGAACTTATAATCATTGGCTGTGAGCGTTGACATCGATTGGTTCTATGGACCTTGCGGTCACGTGTTACAGTGTATGTTGCAGTGTATGTATGAACTATGCATTGGCGTAGCACAGTAGGTAAAGAGAAGCGAAGGGCGGATAAGATGACAAATCAATTAGCTACTGTAAAATGACTTCAGCGCAACTTCGAATGTTAGGTTATGACCGCACAATACAAGTACATAGACCTCGTGATCTGCCACTTACATGAACTAATCAATGGGAATCGATCGAGACTAACTAGCGGACGGGAACAGACGGATGCAACTGTTGACAAAGTAACCATGATTGCATGTATAACTGCATGTATCGTTCAGCACCGGTAGCTCTCCTTCAGTTAATTAACTTGTGGAGCACTAACCCGTCCAATTGGAGGCTATACATGAACATCACAGTCATGTACATGTACATGGCTTGTATGTATGTGTACCTTGTTTTTGTTTACATAGCGTTCATAGTTTGGTTCAGATGGTCACAACAGACCGAGGCTCTACCAACCGTATGGATGGTTGCAGAAAGGTCACTGTTTTCGAACACGGTGTCCTCCGCCTTGTTTCATGCTGCTGTCAAACTATGACCACTATGTACACTGTACATGTACATTGTACATGTACATGTTGAAAACTTACTTAACCACTGTCATACAAGATCCGTATAGACTATGCACAGTCTGCGGATCCACATGTACATGTACATGTACATCATGGTAAACCTGTGGCTGTCTACATGTACATTATGTCATTGTACATGAGGAGATACAGTATCATTGTACTGCAAGCAAAGTGCACAAATGAGGCCTCCCCGCCAACGAAAGGGAACCTATTTGTTCCAATTTGTACTCGAATCTCAAATTCAAATTACTCAAATTACTCAAATTTGTTCCAATTTGTATGTTTGGTGGATTGGAAATCTACTGCAAATGGACATGACTGTATATGCATGGTTATGTGCTTGGAGCAAATGCAAAATAATTATTATCACAATCATGTACTGTGAAGAAGAGGTTGGTGCGACTTCGGCGATAATTGGGGAATTGTGTGTTGCTCCCTACATGAGTGCTTGCGCTATTCCTGCCGACTTGAATTCTTACTTGACCGTGCTGACTCACGACTGCCTTCCAGAGCACACGAGAAGTCCATCGAACCTTCCACTCACTCGGCAAACTTGCAAGAAAGCACCACTCCCTGCTGAATACACGGTGTTTCGAGGAATTCACCCCTCATCAGTTGAGCTTGAGTAGGCTGAGGAAGATTTTGCCTAATGAGCACCACTTTTATAGTGCTCTCCAGGCACAAACATCACCAGGGATGCAAACTTACAGAGACGCTCCGTTTCCAGCGCGGCCAACACCTCGTGAACACCAGATAGCAGCGTGAGTCAGTGTCGCTCATGGAGGTGCTGAACAAACGCTGAGGACCGTTGGCCGTTCACCCACGTAGGAAGCGGAGACGTTATAGATGACGAGTCCCGGGTTTGTATTCCTGTGCATACGGCATGGCAATGTTTGTGATCCAGTTTTAGAAATGTGAATGACTTGATCTCTTCGGGCACACGTCCGAACCATTCAGCTCATACCCGTACATGTATTACTTTTACTGATTGTGATTCTCAATGCAATTGTACATGTATGGCCATTGTAAAGCGGACGTGTGAACTTTACTTTTCACTACAGTAGTATGTACAATGTACAGAAATCAGTCAGAATGTTCATATGCCTGCCCTCTTTTTGTGTCCATCACTTGCTCGGGTGAGATTCCGTGATGAGCACGTGATGATCACAGCATGCATGGGTCGTGTACATCTCGTGCCGCTCAGGCATTACGCTCATGCACAATGTCAATGACTACATGCATGTTCAGGTGTTCAAACAATGGTTGGTACTATCTGGGACGAATGCTTCCAGCAAATACTTTTTAATGTACAATGTTAATGCTTGATATCCGGATAACATCAGCAAGAGTGCTTTGTGGCAGAACACTGAGGGTTTCGTTGCTATTGAGTATCATGGACCAGTTGTCTAAAGTCCTCAAGCTGCTTACAGTGCTCAATATCCAGTGGTCAGAGCCAGTAATACAAAGATTACACAGCAACGGAGCAAACAAATCTCTTTCCGCTGTTACTCGGAGTTTAGTGTGAAAACACTCATCCGACAGCATGGGACATGTCGAACAGTCCCATCGCCAAGAGCCTCCAAGTGCACTGTGCTAGTGTGTTTAAAATGTTACTTTAAAAAATTAGCACCTTTTAAAACAACAGCAGAACCTTCATTGTCTCCTACATGTATATGTATATGTTCATGCAAATGCACTCGTGCCTGTACAATGTGGAGTGTAAAGTGTAGTTTAAAAGTAAGTTTAAACCCTGGTCAGGAGATACATCAATTAATATAGAATTGCGCAGGAGACAGGGACTGTCCTGTGAAAAACGCTCCAGTTGTGCATAACACACGCGCACACACACACACACACGGACATAAATGTACAGATGCACACGCCGTGCTGATACGCCAATCTGTAATTTCACAAGTACTTCGCAGTAAACAAGTAGGCAGTGATTTCTTGTGAAGCTTTTGTGTTCAATCTTACATTTCAATTGAGTGTTCTATTCTTTCCGAATTGCGGTTTTATTTCTCTTTGGTTCTTACTTGATGGTTTCACGCGATTGGCCCAACTTGTGTTGTGAATAAACCCGTTCTCAGCGTAAGCACTAGCCATACTGATGTTAACCTGCTTTTCTTGGATCACGATATACATACATATACAGTACAGTAAAACCTGTCAATGCGACCACTCGGCTAAGGCGACCACCTGTCCTGAAGGACCACTGAAACCAGAACCAAGGTATGCTTTTTTCCAGTCAAATGACCCTGGATACAGAGACCACCTGGTAACAGAGACCACATTTCGAAGATCCCTTACGCCGCCGTCTTAGACAGGTTTCACTGTACATGATTGTAGGATTACCGCAGGTCATGGAAGTCCTGTCTACATGTATACAGGTATGCCTGCCCTAGAGAAGCCCTTGGCAGCGCACTCTTTACATGTACGTTTCACAACGGGTCGCGGTTATCCGGAGCCACTGAAAGTACGAAATACTTCCAAAATGAACACCTGGCTGGCTTATCAGGGCTTCAGATGTGCTACAGGAATGCGCGAAGCCCTAACCCACCAAGCTGGAAAACTCTGTTTCGTCGCAGAACTGCTGGGTCACAATGTGTTCAGGGTGTTCAGCAGGCTGTATTCAGGTAATTAGTGCCTGATCGGGGAGCAGACAAGGGTCCTTGAACTAGTTGAAGGCGCTTGACTGCTGAGCCAATTGTGTACTCTGACCATTCCTTGATAGCGCCGACGAGTGTTTACTTTCTGTTTTAAACCAAAACTGAGTTGTCAATGTGTAACCTACATCTACATGACAACAGTCAACGCAGATAGAGTATTGTACGGTATTAAATATAAGAAGACCTTGTATTGTAGAAACGCGTTTTAAGTACCTGGAGAGTGAGACTGAGTACCTGTAAATCAATATCGGCATTGCCACTATGCACTGTAACAGGAAGCAGCTAGTACCACGGCTGAGACCGTGACAAGGCATCCCACAGCCACCAACCGCAGCGAAAACCTGTTGTCGATAGACCTGCTTATTCCCTCAACACGGCGAAGTGCTATTCAAGGGTTCAGAAAAAAAACAGAAAACGAAAACACCCCTTTAAAACACGTCGTGTTGAATACCCAAGTGTTCATGTTGCGTAGCCGCCGCGTCAGACTTACATTGTTCATGTTGTACAAGTATAGCACTGCTCAATGCAATCCAGTCGCGTCGCTCAAGTACGCACCGGGCATTGCGCAGTCCCTGGGGCTAGGCTGAAGATTCTGCATCAAAGGAGAACGCCTATTCGGCGGCGCGTGCACAGACAGCTTTGAATCCTTTGATACGAAAAGGACAAATTGCGCTTGTGGAACGCTACAAAATCTGTACGCGACGTGTTTATCATAAGGTTTTTCTTCGGGCGGTACACCTAGGCATTCGTGCAGATAGGACATAGCATGCCGTGCGGTAATTGGACTTCATCAGTTGTGTTTTCGATGTCAGTGAGAAAAACTGTGCTTCAGGCTATTCAAGCTGCATGAATGAATGGACAAATTGGCAGAAAGGTTCACAGACCATAATAGTGTACATGTACATGTCGCACATGTAGGCGTCACACGTGTGCCGGAGCGATTTTCGCTCTCCAAATCTGAACACTGGTGACCAATGGTGTCCTGAGGTCTAAACAGCTAACAATAGACTGGCGTGACAACTGAGAACTTGATTTATTAGAACAGTAATACTCACTGGTTTGAGGGAAAGACACAATCGAGAAAGGTCTGTAGAAAAAATCGACTGTCACCACCAGGATTCAAACCCGGGACTTTCGTTTGAGGCCAGCGATGCTCTAACCACTGAGCCTTAGCTCAGTGGTTAGAGCATCGCTGGCCTAGCCGTCATCCCAGCAGAAACCGCCCAACATTTCCTTCAGACTTCGTAACCCACACTTCCTGTGAATCCACACAGGCGGGTGGGACGCAGCCCTCATTGTAACCCACACATTTCACGTACAAACTAGTACGCGGGGAGCCCCAAGTCATCAAAATATTCACTGGTTTGGGGGAAAGACACAATCAGGAAAAGTCTGAAGAAAAAATGGACTGTCACCACCAGGATTCGAACCAGGGACCTTCGCTCGAGGCCAGCGATGCTCAATAATAATAATAAACATGGATGGGTTGCGACATGGATAAAGTCTACAGTTGATGCATAATTACATGTATAATTATAATACTCTTGTGACTGCAAGTGGAGTGATTTACATGATGCACATGTATACGGTTTGCTGCGCTACTTTACACGGTGGTCTGTTATCGCGTCCATCGGTGCTTGGTTGGGTCCAGCGGATCGAGCACGGCCTGTCCCCATCCCGGTACTTTCCCGATACGACCCAGCCCGACGTTCCTGAAGCCAGCCGTAAAAGCTAGAGTAAAAAGGGTTGTATTTTCTTGGCATCCTGGCCTGAAAACAGAGTTCGGGTCGCGCGGGTGCGAGTGTTTGTGCACAGTCTTATGTATAGTATAGACGGACACAATGGTTGCAGTAAAGAATATCAATTACGCTATCTCATTATACTCAAGTATTGCTCAGGTAGCCTTATGGTGGACGACAGTTGTCAGTCAGGGACAGACATCGAGCTGTAGCTATAGTTCTTCGTTTCTTTCATTACCTCTGCGCGTGTGTGTGTGCGTGTGTGTGTGTGTGTTTATGTGTGTGTGTGTGTGTGTGTGTGTGTGTGTGTGTGTGTGTGTGTGTGTGTGTGTGTGTGTGCGTGTGTGTGTGTGTGTGTGTGTGTGTGTTTACAAATACAAGGAACTGTAGTAGTGTACTGATCACAGTTCCAGGGGGTTAACCCAACATTTTTTGTATCATCATACCACTTGAATAGAACATGGCTCTTCACAGTCGTTGTGGCCCGATTCACACGGACCATGTACATGTACATTGTACATGATTGTACACGTACACGCACATGCATAGTGCGTTTATCGTAACAACAGCCATCAAAAACTGCCTGTCCCACAGCTGCAGTCGAGTAACAATACAACAGCCTGGTGACGGTGTAAACGCAATTATTTTAGTTTCGGAGAGAAATTTTGTAAATTTCTTCCAGGGGCGGTTGCACTGTTGCAGGGGATTGCACTGTGTAGTGTTGCGCCAATGTAATTTACATGTACGTACATCTAACCATGGTCAAAGGAGGAGTACCGCATCTACGCCTATGCAATCCGGCAGTGCACTGTCAGACTGCGCCGCAGGCACCATCCATTATAACACGTTGCAAGTGCAACCACGTTAGCTCTCCACAACACAAGCAGTAAACCGTCACCATGCGGAATTGCACTTGCAGGAGCAGTCGTGAAGCCGAAATTCACGCAGGGTGTGTCGGGGTTTTGCACTTACAATTCGCTCGGGTATCTGGTGACGGTAACAGTAGGCATAGTATCCTAATATCTGTGCATGTATTGCGTGTAATACTCGTTCTTGAAGTTTCTTGAAGCTTCCAAGGCAACCATGTGACTGTACAGTAGGTGATATCGCAGAATGTAGCAAAGTGGAGTGATAGCAATTTCACCTACATGCACACTAATGCATACCCTGTTAAGTCCACTGAAAGCGACTGAGATCTTGGCTGGGGGTGACATTTGAAGTGTAAAGTGCTAGCGTACCGAGTCGGAGTGCAATCACGCTGCCCGTGGTGCCTGTTTTCGCACTGAGGCGTTTGATGTGGATTGCTCCGTAACTGCGTGCGCGCGTGCGCGTGCGTGTGAGTGTGCGTGTGTATGTGTGTGTGTGTGTGTGTGTGTGTGTGTGTGTGTGTGTGTGTGAGGTACACATCCATAGTCTCTTAACAGGTAGCGGTGTATGGTACATGCGGGTGCAAACAGTGATCTCATGAGCACAGAGACACCTTGGAACGCAACCACAGAGTTGTCTTGGAGTATACATAAATTTACAATGTACTTCCGTCCGGTCACAGGTTGACTGCATTTTGAGAGAATTTTGCCCTGCGCCAGCACCGCGAGCGCTTGTTTTGTGTGTGTGTGTGTGTGTGTGTGTGTGTGTGTGTGTGTGTGTGTGTGTCTGTGTGTGTGTATCTCTACAAGTACCCATCTTTCACGAGTGCTGACACCGATCCATTTCCCATGCCATTGACAGGCTTGTATTGTCTCATGGGAATACATCAGCACTCACTATGCCTGACATCGTGAATCACAGGTATCACGCGTGGCTAGTTTTCTTAGTAAGGTAAAGATCGCGTCTCGACCACACATGCTGCCCATTCATCCCCTGGACACTCAGTCATTGAGTACACGGCCAGCGCCGCTACGAAGAGCACCAGCGGCGGCTTGCAAGGAACGCCGATAAAATTAATGAGCTGGCCGTGACCATGCAAGATTGACGCGATTGCGCTATAAAAGTGGTTCGCTCCCTCCCCAAAGACGGGAGAACAAGAGGTTCTGAATGGTCGAGACGTTTGCTCATTGTGGTACGTGCTACAAGTTAGTGTCTCAAGCCAATTCCTGTTATCTACTGTTAAGAACATCACGTGAATGCAAAGGGAAACAGAATCAGGTACGATCACTAATTACTTGATAAAAACATAGCGAAGCTGCGATAGAAGCATACGTTTCGTGTGAGACAATACTAGTATTGACTTGGAAAGGTATTACATTTTGTGAGCATTGTCCTTTTCACATTGCGAGAACAGAGCTACCCCAAAAACTGCGCACTAGTGACTGCTCAGCTCAACATCTTTATTAACCTGACCAGAAGTTCGTAGCATTCCCACGCTTCTTGTGTTTCTAAACATAATTTTGATCGACCGCAACATGCACACTCTGGTTTACCCTTTTTAGCAGAAAACACAACACAAGTGCTGTTATGACGAGGCGAAACAGGTTGATTCCTCACTAACTCATTCTGTTTGGTGTTCCTTTCCTGATTGTTTCAGAATTCAGAGCTTTCCGAAGAGGAGCGGTTGGAGATGACTTCTGATGCAGCACATCCTGGCCAGGAAACCCAGGTATGACGGGGATCTTGTTTACGATACTAGTAGTTGGCATTGATTGGCTATCACCTTTCATGTCACATTCATTTGTTATTGGCAGGCATTGGACGAGCCAGGAATTATTGAATAGGTACTAGTAGTAGTAGTACAAATGGAAATCCGGGGGATCTGTACTTACAATTGCATTCAATACTTGCACAGCAATGTCAAACCAAGCCCTAAATCATGCCAACTGATGAGTGTTTATTTTAGCACGAAACTCTGGGTAATGGCAGAAAAGGACTTGATGGTGTCATTTCTGTGTCACTGTTAGAATTGCATAACTGGTTCTGTCCACTGGACATAGAGCACAAATACGCAGCCTGAGGATTGTCTATAATTCCATTAATGTACATTGTTTCCCCTCGCCATGATCGTGCGCAACAAGGCAAACGATCGCTTTACAGCTTTGACGGATAAGAATGGTTTGAGTAAATGCTTTTATCGATGCTTTTCAGTCCATGGGGGTACAATGGGGCTTAGAAATTAGGTCGTTGTTCACGAGTTGCCACTTTACCTGAGGTCGTTGGTGGCGAGTTTGGCTTAGCTAGTGGTTTGTCACGAGAAGTATAACGAATTGCGTAATTGCAAGACGTAGTAATAGCCCGTTGCTGAGCGCTACGAGCACGAGACGTCCGTCCCTTCGATAATGTGTGACCTCATGTCACCCTATGCTTTCATATTGTGTTATCGAGCGATCTTCATCTTTCTGTTCTTTAAAATTGAAAAAAATTCATTACCTATATGCCTATCAAGCTGGTCATGTTGATTGATATTCTAAATATAATCTACTTGTTTTTTTGTCCATCACCATTGTTCTTGCTCAGTCTGCAGCTATGACAGGAGAGGATGAAGTAGTACAAGAGACGAAGCAGTCGTACGAACAGATACTTGAGGACAGGGAGAAGCTCTCACAGACGGTGTTGGGTCTGCGGCAAGAAGTTGCCAATCTACAAATGAAGGTATGATGAAGGTGTTAAAGACTTCAGGATACATGTATTAGTATGAGCAGGTGATGCATATGTGCGCGTATGTGTGTATGTGTAAATGTGCGTGCGTTTGTGTACATTGTATGTGCTTATGTGCGTGTTTACGTGTGTGCGTGTATGTGTGTTTGAACGTCGCTGGTATTCCGAGAATGCAAGCCAAGTACATGTCCTGTCCAAAGAGGGCTCAATACAGGGTTGCTGGGGGTCCACAAACACACAAGGGGAACAGGAAGAAGTTGTAAGGTGGCGTTTCTCGCTGGTGGTGGCCCACAGTGGCCATGGCGATACCAAACACACACTGTAACAGTTCTATTGACATAATATGGAATTATATTATCCGGAAATTTTAGTTGGTTTGTGCGTCTATGTTAACCACCACGGATCATGGCTGCATGAGCTCTTTTTGATGCAAGTACTGTATTTTCACCAACTTTCAATGCGGCTCTATTTTCGGTACGTCCGATGCATTTCTCCCGTCGTGGTTGGCTATAAAATCCCTGCAATTGCCATGCAAAGTGGTCATTGGCTACCCCGCAATAAAATTCAAAATTTCTTTTGTTCCTAAATTTCAATACCCGCAAGAACACAAATACACCTCATTCGTTACGGAATGGCTTACTCTGTACCTTAAAAATATCTGTTAGCCTAACTTGGTATTTTGCTCTCTCATACATGTACCTGCGCCTTTGATTGAGCACCTGAATTTCTGAAATTAGAGTATTCATCTGACCTGTGATATAGAGAGCGGAGTCCTCCGGTTCGGTTCACAGATTCCTTCCTATACCACTGCATACATACCAAACTAGCCGTGCATCACTGTTATCAGTTGTCTGAAGATTGCCAGCTGGCATGAAAATATTAGTTACAACAATCCAGACGAGTGGTACTCTGTGACTCGTGTGACCTGTGATGTATATAATATATTTTTTTCTCTCCAACCTGTATCTTACTTTGTTTACGGTAGGTAGTTCGCAGAGACATGGACTTACGGGCAGAGCGTGAGGCTCGGCAGAGACTCCTGCGTTGGATACAAGCGCGGCGACAGAGTGCGGAACGCAAACTGCTCGAGTCAGGCAGCAGAACGGGCAAGGACGACGACGAAGCCTTGACAATATTCTGGATCAATCAGTTCAAGAATACTCCCATGCACGATCCTGGGGCGCGGCACGGACCTGAAATGACCAGCGAAGAGCAGGAGGTGAGATTCGTTGGGTTTTGTCTGACCGTGGAGAATTTTCTAAGGCCTTTTTAAATTCCCAGCTCCTTCCTTCCACAGGTCACAAGTATTCGGTCGAGGTTATCTTTATCGACCATTCCATGGTGCAAACACACTAAATAGTGTCTTTTGAAACACGTGACAGGTGATCGTTGTAAGCAAGTGGCAGGTGGCTATTGTAAGCAAGTGGCAGGTGGTCATTTGTGGATAGGCTCACATAATTACACATGTTATCTGTACACTTTGAAATGACGGTACCTGCATAGGCATAAACGGCACTTGAGGACTGTCACTATCTACAATACCTATTGAGCCGGATATGACCAGACCCTTTAATGAGGAGGCGGGTGACTTCGTATTGCAATAGCGGCTCGTGGCACTTAACAGTGTAAACAGATTCTTTCGACGGTCTACGTTTTCACAGCACTCCATTAATGAACACACAAGAACCGTTGACCTGTGCCAAGCACTTGGCGGATATTGGTGGAGAAATTGACATAATATTCTACTTGAAACCAAAAGAAAGTGAATGAAATTGGCAGAGCCATACACACTTTATAGCGGGCACCTCCTCAAATTCTGCTCCATTGTTTTATACCAAGCATGCGTAAAACATACATTGAAAGAACCAGATTCTGGCGGTTTTTCTGCCCGAATTATTCGCCAAGGGCTGCACGCGCCTGGCATAGAACTGCACCAGTTCCAGCTAGCAGTATGGTAGGACGAGCTGGTATAATCTCAACACCACTGCTGTTGCGCTGCCTTCACCATACATCCAAACACGGAAACTTTTGGGATTATTGTAAAAAAAATTAACAGAAAATCGATGAACACGCTTTCACATGATTGAATAATTATACGGAACCTTGATTTCAGCTCATCTCGTCTCTGGTACAAGGTTGTCTCTGGCACGAGAATAAGAACGCCTGGGCCCAATGATCACTATTGTGTTTATGTTCTAAGTCAAGGAATGCTTTGTTTGTTGTATTTTGGGATTTCCCCGACTGTCTTCAGGAGTTCTTGGCCAGAGGAAGCTCGGCAGCACGCCCCAACTCGACCCCAACGGCTGTGACCTGCCGCAGTGTCGCGAGCCAAGCCAGCAGATCAGCATCTCAGCCTACAAATACGCACTGGAAAGGAACACTGGCATTCACAGCGCCACCTGCCCAGTCAAGTGTGGGCGATCGTCCTCGCCTGGAGGCAGCTCCGGGTCTGTTACTGCGCTCCAAGAGCGATGGAAGCACTCTGACACATAGCGAATCAATCCCAACAAAGACAGATTGCAAGCGCAGCCACCATGAAATCCCTGTGTTCACAGATGGACACAGGGAATGTGCAAGCAGTCGGCAAAGCAGTTTATCATGCAGTCAACGTCTTCGATATTTCCAGCGGACTGATCATAAATGCACCGGTGAACGCACCCAGGCAGTAATCAGGGCAGGTGGTGGTCGTGCACCAACGAGGCACTTCTCCGACCCTACTCCTGACGTAACGTCGACGGCCACATTCGCCCATGGCAGACAGTCGTCTCAACAGCGCGCTATAGGTTCGGCTGGCAATCATAGACCCCAGCACAGCTCAGTGCCCCAGGTGTGATGACACCAAGCCTCAATGCCAACGGAGTGTCGCCTGCCAACTTAACTTAACCATGCATGATACATGTATTCGCATGTGTATGTGGCAGTGCAGAACGTTGCCAATGGTCAAGAACATCACCAGTTTTAGTATACCAACAATGCTATTTAAACAAAGACTTACAAACTTTCTTATTACAACCCTTGAGATTTGGGTAATGCTAATCGTACAGGACTAACATTCGGCCGATATCAATTGCACGTCCTGTACTATAGCGCATATGTATGGCCTTCCTGCCCCGGAATGGACTTCTACGGCCTGGCCCACCTACATGTACATGATGATCATGCAGTCATGTAGTAATTCCAAAAGTAAACAAAAGAAGAAGAAAAACGTGTACCCCAGTATAATGCTACATTTTTTTACTACTATTCACAAACCCAACTCGTAAAAATTAAATAATTATCTGGACAAAAACAAACAGCTACAGAGTACATATGGTGCTGCGGTCTCTAGTCGGTGGCTGACTTTATTCGACGATACTAGTACTGGTACATGATTGCACGTGTCCTGTACAATCAGTCACATCGTCATGTACATGCAATGCACATGTGTCTATAGTAATATTATGCTACCTAACGAAGCCATGGGGAAACTGTACTTTATAGACAAGGTATTACCAAAGAATAGAAGAAAGACCGAGGAACTACAAATTTCGCTTATAATATCCACTAACACCACCAGCAGCTACTAAACAATCAGCTCATGCGCTAACATTGGACGACACTGACCGACGGTACTGACGTTCTACAAATAACTACCGATCAGCTCTAGCACATTCCTAGCACGTCCCCTACTATATTATCAAAATCATTCTTCCCAAATTTACATCATTGTCTAAGTCTCTCTTCATGTTCCGAACTGCTATTCTATGGAACTGTTTACCCCCCAGGCTAACATCGGAAGCCTCGCTCTATAAGTTCAAAGCTGCCCTCTGGAAATTTACAGCTAACCATGCTTATGCAATCAACGGAATTCCGCCTCCTTGCAGTTGATTTTCCCCGTTTCGCTCCTCATCAATCCCTACTTGTCTTTGTACATACTGGTAGTTGTAATGTTTTTTCAATCAAATGAACCCCCGATAGGCATATTGGCTTTGGGTCAAGTTTCATAATAATAATAATGACAATAATTTAAATATGGCAATAAGTAGGACGAGCTGAAGCGACATGTGGACTTCTTTATTAACAATATAAGCGATGGAGACGATGCAAGAAACAACCTAAAGGGTAAGGAAAAAATACATGTAAGAAGACAAAGGCAATGGAAAAAGAAAAGAAAGATGATTCGAACAAGTTTTCGTACAACACTCTTCAGGAATCACCTACCTTGATTGCTATTTCCTTTGTTCTCATTTTGTTCTTTAGTACAACGGTGATTCCTGAAGATTGTTGTACGAAAACTTGTTCGAATCATCTTCCTTTTTTTTCCATTGCCTTTTTCTTCTTACATGTATTTTTTCCTTACCCTTCAGGTTGTTTCTTGCATCGTCTCCATCGCTTACATTGTTAATAAAGTAGTCCACATGTCGCTTCAGCTCGTCCTACTTATTGCCATATTAAAATTATTGTCTCCTCGTCGAATTTTTAAATAATAATAATAACGATTTTTCGGTGGCAAGTATCCACGCAAACACACATCCAGTCAAATAAGGCACGTGTCAAAAGTATACGAACATTTTTGGGACTCAGAACGACACAAAACTCGAAGGAAAATAACCTGACCTTTGCGTAGAGAAAGAAAATGTGTTGTCGCTGCAATTGTTTGGTGTTACACCTCTTCGAGGTGTTAACAATGTAACTTAATTTGTCGACTATGTTGTTGTCACTATTATTACTTTCCTTCGAGTTTTGTGTCGTTCTGAACTTGATGATTTCCCACCTTGTCACGAGTGTTGGTATAATAGCACTCTGGCAAGGTACGTTCGGGCCTGATTGGAAATTTTTATTTCCATTGCTATCAGGTTCGGCCTCATTTCCTCTGTGCTGCGCTGATGAGTTCAAAAAGAACGAAACAGCATGCTGTCCGCAGATTGAGTATTTCGCTCCTGCTCTTGTAGCAGTTGAGCACTCTTGCGTGGGGTAGTGCCTTTGCTGTTTGCGTTATGCAGAGCTCACTGACTTGTCAGTTTGAGCACTCTGGCAAGGTACGTTCGGGCCTGATTGGAAATTTGTATTTCCATTGCTATCAGGTTCGGCCTCATTTCCTCTGTGCTGCGCTGATGAGTTCAAAAAGAACGAAACAGCATGCTGTCCGCAGATTGAGTATTTCGCTCCTGCTCTTGTAGCAGTTGAGCACTCTTGCGTGGGGTAGTGCCTTTGCTGTTTGCGTTATGCAGAGCTCACTGACTTGTCAGTTTGAGCACTCTGGCAAGGTACGTTCGGGCCTGATTGGAAATTTTTATTTCCATTGCTATCAGGTTCGGCCTCATTTCCTCTGTGCTGCGCTGATGAGTTCAAAAAGAACGAAACAGCATGCTGTCCGCAGATTGAGTATAATATCATTATAAAGTTATTATATTATTATTATATTATTATCTTTACGCTATTATACGTTTGAGACTTTCCAACTTGAGCTCTCTCTCTCTCTCTTGCGCTCCCTCTGTCTCTGTCTCTGTCTCTCTCTCTCTCTCTCTCTCTCTCTCTCTCTCTCTCTCTCTCTCTCTCTCTCTCTCTCTCTCTCTCTCTCTCTCTCTCTCTCTCTCTCTCTCTCTCTCTCTCTCTCTCTCTCTCTCTCTCTCTCTCTCTCTCTCTCTCTCTCCCTCCCCCACCCACTCTTGGTGCGTCTAGGCGGCTATGAATTCGAGACCCTAGGTCGGCGGAGCTCCCTAAACCTCACCACCACTGCCACGATTCAGGTTGTGCGTGCTTCCCCTAGCTGCATCTCATGTTTGGCATAAAGTGGTCTTTGTAAAAAAAAAAGCCACTCACTGTACAATCCTTGAAGAGAAGGGACCGAAAACGTTCGGATACTTTTGACAAGTGACTTATTTGACTGGATGTGTGTTTGCATGGATACTTGCGACCCCAAACTGACCTTCGTTTTGTAAAGTGTTATCCGCCTCCGACCTCTTTAAAAAATAAAAATAAAAATAATTGAGAAGTAGCGAAGGCCCCGGCCATTATCGAATACAATGCACCACACCACCACATTGCGCTCTTGGCCGATTCAAACTCTGTACTCACTTCACCATCACCACAGCGAGGACAATTCCGGTATATAGATTGATATTGACAATGACCCTCCAGACAGCTGTTTCGCTCCTCCTGAGCTCATCAGTGGAGGCTACGATGTTGAATGAAAGAAAAATAGGAATAGACTGATCTTTATAGGGCTAAATTGGCGCAATTGCGCTCGTTCTGCATAGATACGTGACATACCCTACGAGACAAAAGTGACAAAAGTGATAACAAGGTCAGATGATAACGACACCTTGCACAATGCACAAAGGTGAAGGGCAGTATGTACACACAACATCATAATATTCCCCTTGTCATTGAGCACTTGTGCTCGTTTGGATGTGAGAATTCAAATATAATATACAAACAAACAAACAAACAAACAAACAAACAGAGGCGAAAGGCTGTGCACCTGTAACTTGAAAATGCGGTCAATTTACTACAACCCACCGCGCTGGATACCATCTTGCATTACACCCAATGCCGCTCGTATTTGTGCTCCGCCCGCACAACACAGCAAACAACAACAGAGTTGCATAGCCAGTGGCTGGCAATGGCGAAGTGTGAAAGGAGGTGGCATGTTGCACCCTGGTTTAGCGAAATCCTCATCCTCACAGTCGTCTACCCGCAGGCTCTGCAAGCTTCCTGCACCTCATATACAAGTATCTCTAATTCGTTGCAGCAGTTCCTGCAGAGCAGGACCAGACGCGTGAACTGTTCCAAAACTTTCGATTTGAAGTGAAAACTTGGCTTCTAATGATAACAGTTACGCGATCTTTGCGACGATCTTCACGAGTTTTCGTACAACTCTTACATGTCCATGGGCCGATGAATCGGCCTGGTGTGAACCAGATTTGTCCAACGGTTGGCGCAACAGATTCCAGGTATTTATTGAGAGAAAAAAATCCAGGGCCACAACAGCAGTCAGCTTCCTCGATGATGCGTTCGGCACGGAGTTGAACGAGCAGGAGGCCAACAACGAGCAGGGCAGTTTTCAATAATTTGCAGTGGAGCAGTTTGCGGTGGAGCGGTCACTGATTGCAGTAAAGCGGCGAGTGTTTGCAACGAAGATTCCCGTCCACAGTTGACAAGCGATGCAGGCAGGAAGAAGAAAGGTCGTTATGGAGAGCGTCCGCCAGTAGACAACTTAGCACATGTCGGCATCCACGCCACGACCGCCCAGACTACCGGATGGAATATGGGCATTGATATTCAGTAAATTACCCGATGGATGGTATTACGTTCATCACCTAGCAACCGTCTGTTCGCAATTCGCGAACGTCGCCGCCGGATATAAAGGTAGTGTGTGTGAGAAAACGTATTTTGATTTCCGCCGAGGCACTGGCAGCCCAAGAAGGCGATTTCTTCGCTTGGCTGAAACATGCGGCAAGTATGTGAAACAGTTGGAATTGGTGGGAGAGTGTTTCATGCCGTCACCCACGCCAGGCATCTCAACAAGTGCGGTAGTGAGTGTTTTGCATTTGATGCCTAAACTCGCAGTGTTTGACTGCAGTATGTGCTTCTTGGGGCGAGACATCACCATCCTGAATGCGCTGGTTGAGTGCCAGAACTTATGGCATGTTCGGATTACCTTAGCGGTAGGGGAATCAGGCACTGCTTCAGGACCTGACTGTTTTGCCTTTACGGACACGGCAATGGCCACAGTGGTGTCATTAGCAGCCAAATCTACACTCGAAATCAATTGTGTCGGGTGGTGTGACATTTTAAACGATGCTGGTCCTGCGATTAAAGAGCTGCTCCAACGAATAAGAGACAATGACGGAAAGTTGCAAAGCCTTCGTGTATACTCCTGTGAGGTCGAGGATTTCGCAAAAGAATTCACTCGATCACCGTTGTGCAACATTCCACCTGCTTGCATACCTAGCGGCATTCCGCGCAGTGCAACATGGTACCCAGCTCAGTGCCTTCAAGTCAACTTAATGTATGATGGGTTCCCGGTCGATGTTACCACCTATCCCTATCTCAAATGCTTAGTGCTGACTGGTGATTCCTTTGTCCATCTTCGATCAGACGAGTTAATCAAAATCCTGCAAAACAATACTCGGATCACGCAGCTGAGTGTTGCTGTTGCAATAGACCTGATGCTAACGGAAGACACGTATGACGCGAAGTTCTTTGAGAACTTCTCGCGTCTAGAGAACAAGTTCTGTCACCTGGATACATCTCACTGGAGAACAACAGCGCCGTGTGATGTATTTGTTAAGATGGCCGCACGTTTCCCGTTGCTCCGTGACTTCTCATATGTGTATCGCTCACATTCGATGGACGCTGACTGCACATATCCAAGAGATGGCAGTAGAGATAGTGCTGAGGCGCTAGTGGCTGCCTGTCCCAATTTGTCTCGTCTAACTATTGGCGGTGCGATTGGTATACCAAGCCTGGACACAAGTCGCGGTGATTATTGGACCGGACGGGAGAGGATTGTGCTTCGCGACAATTTCGGAGCGTTGACCACACTGGGAAGATTATCCCGGCTGCAATCGCTGTCATTGCAGGGAATGTCGTTGAACTCAGAAACAGACCTTGAAACGCTGGCATCTGAGCTTCCAGAACTAGAATGTCTGCACTTGAGTGACATCTGTTGTGAGCCTTTCGATTACATTCCCGGACTAGGTAACGCAATCAGCAAGCTTCGTAACCTGAAGACACTGATTTTACGGGATTCAAATCTTCAGATAGTTGACGTGCTTGAAAGTGTGGGGGAACTAACTCGGCTAGACAATTTCAGCCTACACACCGACACGTCCATTCCAGATCATACTCTCACTGCCTTCATTGACTCGAGCCAATCGCCGCTTAAATAATCAGTGAAAACAGTGATATTTTCCGTAAGCACCGCGGGGGTGCTGGCTGCTGTTCCACTCATTTCACAAACCAACACA